ACTACCAATCACCGAACGACCTCGAATGGTCCAAGGAGGTTCATGCACGTGAATTCAACTTTGTATAACGCTTGATTCGTTTCAAATGCATTTTCTAATGAACTTACGCCTGTAGTTCGAGGAGGATAAGGTTTTGCAATATTGCCTGGATTCGGGTGTCATGAGTTTAAAAAGCTTTAGCAGGTCGATTGATGGATTTATCCATTGTTGTGCAATTTGTTTGAGACGAGTTAGTATTAGAGAAGGCAAGCTGATAATTTTAATATTTTGCAGGAACATTTTTTGCTAGGTCGCATCTCCCCTTAACCCAAATTTTGTATATTTCTAACTTCTGGGTTTCAAAACAGCCTGTGAGAGGCACAGCAGCTGCGACCGAAAATGGCCTTGTGTCAACAGTTCAGTGGTACCAGCATTACAGAGACAGTGCATCATGGAAAATGAAGAGAATTACTTCGTTGTTGGGCGGACAAGGCATCATCGTGCACCCGGACGAAACTGAGTTACTGAAGAAAAAATACAACCGTGGTCGTGAGTGAGCCAACAATGTTTGGGTGATTGGTTTATATGACACCTCCCTAAGGAAAGGATTCGTGGAGAGAATACCAGACAGAAAGTCAACTAGCTTAAAACCTATTATTACTAGACTTGTGAAACAGGGATCCATAGTACATGCTGATGAATGGAAAGGTTATAACTCGCTATCATCTCTTGGATATATTCAGCACAGAGTGAACCATTCCCGTGATTTTGTGGATCCCATTACGGGGACACACACAAATTCTATAGAAGGATTTCGGGAAAATTGAAAAATAGGATTAGAACTATAAATGGATCTCATTTATAGTCATTTGGATGAATATATGTACAGAATGTGGTGTGACTTTTCTGTTGACACTCCTATGCTAAACTGGGAGATGTTTCTGTCACATGTTAGAGAAAGATACCCTATGTAACAGTTTTATGCAGTTTTTATGCTTTTTTTTCATAAATATACGTTTTCCCTTATCGAAAATCTCTCTTCCATGTGATTGGTCTGTTTAAGGTCGTTCGCTGATCGGTAGTCAGTGGTGCTTAAAGTTTAACTTTGCCACTGCGAGTTCCTCTTCAATCTTACCTTCTGAACATAACGCCCTAGCTCTGCTAAAGATCATTTTTACTAGGCTTCGTTTGCAGTCTATTGGGCAAAAGCTGGGATAATTCAGGAACTCACCTGTCGAAAAAATATATACCTTCTATTGAAGTCTGTGCTGAAGACATGCTGTCTAGATAAAGACAATGAGAGTTTCGCAATTAAACCATCCAGATCAGATCACACAAGTGCATCAATATACTACTCACAAATACTTGTGTCAGTTGCACACACAGAAATGAAATCTTACTTAACAAACACTTTCTATTCTATGCAGTTGGGAATGAGCCACATACATCTATTGTGCGACGTTGAGTGATACTACCTGGCTGGCCAAACCTCGTTCGAGCTCGTGAGAAATTCTTTGGAAGCAGAGTGTCCAAGCCAGTGGGCCACAGAGATCGACCTACGTGCATATCATAACTAGAAATCCTTAAGAACTGTTAGTCAAATGTGTCTTCAAGGCAATCCCGTTGTTCTACTTCAAGCTGTAGTAAACGCTAATGACAAATAAACTTAAATTCTGTATTTATACTTTATTGCTTTACTGTTGTAATACTTCACTTGCTCACCATATCAGAAGAATCTACAACACCGAATGATAAGAAGAACAGATATTACTTCACAAAAATATGCTAGCTCAAAATGGATACCTGATACGTTTTCTGGAGAACATGAAACCGAAGCCAAAAAGAGAAGAATGCAGTACAGTGCCAAAGAAAATGCTGTGCATGGACCTGGACTTCAGGCGGCACTTAGCAGTAGATATCCTAAAGAGGAGAATCTCAAGATAGACCTTTCCTGCAGTAACGCTATTAGTAGCATTCCCTAGACGCCAACTGTTTCTAAGCAATGTAAAGGACAAACTCCTACATATGACCACTCTAATGTGCATATATCAATCCACCCTGCTCTCATAAGTACGTTGGCAGCTTTATGAGCCTCCTTTCAAAAAGGTGGCACTTCGTCAACAGCTATCACAGCATCTCAACTGACTCATCACTCAAAGTCATATACAAGGTGAACAAAAGTCGACCAAAGGCAGCGTGTGTATTTCCAACTTCTTTCTACTACAGAAGATCTCATCATGTGCATCGAAAAGATGGAGCTATGTGTTCAAAAGAAACTAGTCCAACCTCTACATTCACTATGGATCTAGTTTAGTTCGACTCCTTGGTTTTCGTCTATTCGCTTTACCATTCCCTTCGTTTTCAAATCTTCAGTTATAAAAACAACCTGTTATTTCAATTAGTTTCTATGATCACGCCGTCTTGACACCTGTCTTCGTTAACAACGATTTAATATACGACGCAACTATTTTCTGATCCTGTGTGATCTATATATTCACACCCACAAACTTTCATATCAAGCTGAAAATTATTATCATCTTTAACCTCCTTTTGTTATTATGTTGAATTGAATAATCACTATAACTACGTAAGCTTATAAATATGCCATTGTACAGCTTTTGATGATAAAGTCGCTGAGAAGACATTTTTGCTGAACTTCCTGTTCTTGTCTTCTGAATGAATATACTTACAGAAGTTGGTTTGCGGGAGTCTGACTGGATTGGTTACACAAATTCATCATGAGCTGATATCAGTTACATAACCAATGGGAATCTAAGGAGTACTGGACAGCCAGCTGTTTTGTCAGTCTAGTTTGGGACTCTTCAGTAATACACACTCATCGCCACGACTCGAACCCAGGACCTTCCGGTTACAAGGCTAGCGAGCTCGTAGACCATTAAGCCACTGAGACCCAATCTAATGGCTAGACAATGAATTCCAGCTTCTGCCAATCCACGATATAGCGCGACTACTAGTACTTTGAAACTATAATTTTAAACAACAGAAGAACTTTATTCTACAAAACCAAGCACCAGCTTTTTGAATGTACTACAACTTGTACATTAAGTCACTTTTTTCTTTCATATTAAGCTGAGTAATTCACGATTTACTTAGAGTATAACTCTCCTGTGCAGCAATATATCAGGCCTGAAAACAAACAGTTATCACCAGAGTTCATCGATAGAGTATTCCCAGGAGTACTCATTCCCAACAATCTGAATTAGCTTACGACTGAATAAACAAATAATACACGCGTAGTAGTTGAGTGTGTGTGTGTGTGTCACATCGGTAGAGTGATCGCCAACCACGCCTCATGTGGTTCTGAGTTAGAGCGCCGGCCGAAGCACTCCTTTACCTCGCTAAGCCAGTAGTAAAACTGGTAAAGAGGGAAGGTTAGGCATGAGGCTAGTAAACCCATCCTGTAAAGATAATCAACACTGCTACAGAAACTTCAAGCCTCTAGCTTGAAGCCCCCTAGTTTCCACTGGGAACGTAAGGGAATAAAAAAAGTAGTTGAGTAATATTCAGAAACAAAAGCAGGAACACAAAACCAGTTTTTGTAATTATATGTGTACTATGCTAATAGACACCTCAACAACACCAAGCAGTAATCGCTCTCAACGGAAGACATGTGAATGAGTTCATCTCGTTCACTTATCTGGCTAGGTAGCATCGTTTCAACTACAAGTGGCGGCATAAATGAAAACGTCAAAGTTAGCCAGCATCCGAGAAGCATGACAGACCTTAATTAATCTGAAATCAGTGTGGAAATCTACTGCACTCTGCAGCATAAAGAATAAGATTCGGATTCTGTTCAACACACGAATGTTGAGTAAATCCGTCCGTCAGTCCTTCTCCATAGTTCAAAGACTTGGCTTACACGTCACGAAAAACATTTTACACAGCCTCCTGCATACTTCGATCAACAAATGTCCACTGCCCTGGCTCCATAATTAAGATTAGATCGCCGGAAAGGATTGATTGACTGACTGGTCTCAATGTAGAACTCTACTTTGCAACGATGTGAAGCAGTTCGAGTTAACACACTTCACGTAGCACACAAAGCAAGAGAAGAAGGTAAAAAGAGATTCAAAACAGAGAGAGAATAAACAGAAATATGAGGTAAAAAGAATAGTAATATAGAAAAACAAAAGTTTTATTGGAAATTATAAGTCACAAGGAGAGGATGCAACTGCGCTAGCCATTGGTATTTGCCGTGCCGAGGACCCCAGTCAGGAAGTCTACACTTTCCTACGTGGCTGGCTTAGGCTAACTGTTGTGGATTTCATTGTCTGATGAAGCCATATTTTGGTTTGACCACTACTGGCTCTTTTCCAACCTAATCCATCCTATTTCAGCTAACACCACCCATCATCGAGGAAGGTAATGGCTAGGCATACGTAACACACGTCCTAACCATCTTAGTGGATGTAACTTCACAGCCTCGTCGACTGATTTCCCCTCCTTGACCTACCTTGTACTCGACCGATGCCTCACTTCAATATAGCTCACCATATTATACCACTTCGCACGGGAGACAGAATGCAGGCACCTATGATCAAGGACAGCTAGCCAGCCAGTCTGTTCATGTCTTGCGTTTTTAATGGCCAGGGCCTACAGCTAAAAAGGAGGAAAGAGCGGACTACTAAGCAGTACACACACAGCCTTTGGTCCACAACCAACCGGATATCACATCTACTAAGCCAGAGACGGTGTAAACTGACATATGCGAAACGAGCCTTCTGTATCCGCACTGAGATTAGCAACAAGGGACTCTACCAACGAATCAGCCAACAAGCAACCTATCACCACCTAACAGATATTCCGAACGGAAATCGGGATGAATTGGGCATACACTACAGAGACCATCAGGTGACATTGCACGCCAGACACAACCTCGAGTTGAACCTGGATAGGAAACGGCAAGGTGAATTTACGTCCAAATATGTGCTGTTAAAGCCTTATGTGTGGCACTTGGAACCCAAAAGAATAATGAACATAAAAATAAGAATAGACACCTAGTTAATAGATAGATAGACATACATATACATATTTATTTATTCAATATTTATTTATTTCGATAATACAAAAGATGAAAGATTTTTGAATAAATGACGTTCAACTTCTTGTCCAAATGTACTTCCAGTAGTAAAATGTACACTATTCCAAAGTGGAATATATTCATTTGATAAACTTATACTAACAAATACAGGACAATTTAAACGTTTCGATAGTTTACAAGATAAATTCTCTTCATATTCACTAAATGAATGACAAGCAGCTTGAACACCATTATTATTATTACTATTAACTGAATAAATTATAGTACTATGCTGTCGGATTGATTCAGTAACGTTTGATGGTAAACACACAGATAAACCTAAACAATTAAATAGATAAATAAATATATTACTTAATTTTTTTATAAGTAGACTGACTTACCAGACAATCGGCCCTCTTCATCACCAATCCATATAAACATGGAACCATTCAATTGAAGAAATAAGAACTTTATTTTAATATTGTACTCTGGTAGTTCACATACAACATGACGTGAATTAAAAGCTTCTAATTCGTTAGTCTAATAAATACAATATGTCATTATTATTATTAATAAACGACTTACTTCGTCAGGCATTTTTTAATTATATAGAGAATTTCTTTTTGGTTTTAGGATAGAAACATGCCTTTAGTACTGAAAATATACACCCAACCGACAATAGTTTTCCAACCAGCTGAATTCCACAGTACACTACTAAAACAAAAATGAAATAACGTTATTGCTATTACTGGAACAGTGGAAGGTAAGACACGGAAGTCAAGGTATATTTTTCATTGATCAAACCGCTGTTTATATATGCATGAACAGTTTATATTCTTTAACCAATCACTGAATGTGTGAGTGATTTTGGCTTTCATTAAACGGCATGAAATAGAATGTTCAAATATACATACTATTCTGTTACCACTAATGCAGTGTTAAACTGTGGGAATATGTGAGAATAATATTCCGTTGGAACACACTGTCTGTATCACACCACTACTAAACTACTATTAGTAGTATTGCGATCACTGATGAAATCTTTAGTTAACTTAAACGTGAACAAGCAATACTGTTTAATCAATAATTTGAATGCTTCTCATAGAACAGTAATGTCTTATCGTTTTAACTGGGTTCCCCGAACAAGCTTTTTCATGTTCCAGACTATGGGCCACACTTATTGTATAAGGGCTGGTGATACTGCTTAGCTGCCCAGAATTAAGTAGGCACAGAGGGATTCGAAACTTGGGTTCACACTTATTGAATATTAAGTGCTTAAGCCAGTGAGCCACATCTCCTTGTTAAGTAGTTAAATTTGAAAAAGTTCGTAACACATTAGAATTCCGCCTTATTTATCAAGATTTTGATAGATTATTGGTATTATCAAAATCGAAAATCACTAATTGCATGCATATGGATGGATAGATGTTTACCATGAAACATCACTTGAATAATAAACCAACTTGTATTCAACTCCTTATTTACGTATCCATTTAAAACAACCTAATTAACCAAAAAAAATCGTTTTCTTACATATACACATGCACTCTTAGCAGATACAATGATTTTATGCTTTATATAGTCCCTATCCAAATTCAGTAGTTCAGCTGTAGAAGTCTTGCCGACCACGTACGTGGTCTGGAGTTCGATTCCAAGTTGGTGCATTCTTAAACCTCGCTAAGCCAATAGGAAACCCAGTAAAGAGGAAAGATTGGATGTGTGGCTAGCAACCCGGCCCAAAACCGCCCTCGTAAAAGTAAAACCACTGAGCTACTGAAACCTTACATCTGAAGCCCTATGTTCCTTCCGGAAGGTAAAGGAAAAAAATAAAATACCCCTTGGGTATCTAACTGTTCATAAAACTATCAACACTGTAACTTTTAACTGATATCCGTTAACAGATATTAATTTAACAATCAGTAGAACTGTGTCACGGTCCAAATTGTCACGCTCTATCGTTACACTTTGAGTAAGAAGTACTAAAAGACAGAAATGAAAATTATACAAGGCTGTATGATAAATAAGACGATAAGCCAAATACAGTAACCCGGTATTAAGATCTACATGAAAAGGCATCAATGCTGTCGTGCTACTGAGGTTGATAATAAGCCGTAACATCTGGAGTCAAACTGTACATTTCATTTCAACAATGAGCTATTATGATAAGGCTAATATGAGGGATTAAATATTAACAAACGAGTAAAATTGCCTCATTTGTTTAAACCACTTTCTCCAAGTGCTTCAGAGGTTATCAGGCAACTACTCAGTAGCAGTCGAATTTCAGTTTTTGTAAATCTCACCACACCATCACTTTATGAATGTTGCAAGACTAGGGTGCTAGGAGAACAGTTCACAGGTAACAAAGTAGCAAGAAGTCCAGACAAATGCACAAGATCTTGTACTTTCAGACACCAGTACCGCTAAAAGTCGTGTACTTTATTTGCAAAGGAAACAAGAAAACTCCACTCATAAACCTATTTACTCAGGTTGTGAATAAAAAACCCTAATATAGTTATGTGAAGTTAGCGATAGATTTTCACCTTAATCTTTAATGCGGTATAACCAACCTTAAGTGATTATAAAGAGTAAGCAAGTAACGCGTATATATTGGTAGAAGGCATTGCTTTCTTTTCAAAAACAATTACCTGAGAGGCTGATATCACCGAATGCGGCAAGGACAGTGATTTCCTAATTACTTTTTAAAAGAAGCTGAATTCTACTTGTAATCTATTCTATCTTATCGCGACGAATATCCACGTGGAAGGAATACGAGGATTACTGCTGAAAAACCAATACTCCCTAAAATATGGAACAGTCTCTTCAAAGGAGAGAGGCGCAGTAGGACAAAAATGGTTTTAAAAAAATCGATGGTATAGAGGGTAAATTATGGGAATGTGATTAGTTGTGAAAAAAAGTGAACCACTTTTGTACACATTACAACTTTTTTTATATATAAATTAGTTTGAACCCGATTTTCAAAATTTCAGACTTATTTTAACACCATATTACCCCAATTTTGATTATATACTACCCAATGTTTGGTCAAATATTTTTCCAAACAGCAACGAATATCTATTATTATACATTTTAACATTATATTAATATATTTTTTTTTTCGAGACAATAATTTTAAAATGCATAGACCCACTGATTATCCTTAAAGACAGACTGTCTGTGAGCAATCTTTGAAAGGAAGAGTTATGAACAAATGCACATGGCGACAAGAAACAGCAAACGACTTAGTAATTGAGCTTGAGCAAACAATCAAACTTCTCTTCCATTTAAATGGATTCTAACGTTGTAATTCACAAGTTAACGATGTCCCGATGAAGACAATGCTCACTATTGGTTGTCTAAACTTATGGCTTGAGAGGTAAACTGAAGAGGCAACTAGAGTGACTAAGTATCACACAAGAAAACCAGTGAGCCAGTTTCCCATAAGTGTTGTTATCTTACATATGTTGAAAGGTCAACGACTTTACTTCCTTTACCCAAGATTATTTTGTGGACCCAGGAGTGTTGTATCTATTCTTTGCTCTGAAAAACACAAATAACCAAATTGTCAGAAACCACCTATTGAAAACAACATAACTGTTGAAAAGAATTCAGGAATTCTGACTAAAAAAGCAAGAAAACAGACAAAAAACGAATAACCTTACGGGCGTAAATGTAATGTAACACACAATAGCAAAAGTCACAACCAAAGACGGCAGAACGCGAAAAGGGCGTGAGAGATGTGTATATTTGACTAAGCAAAGCTTAAAGTGAGCGGGTACAAAGCTATTTGTGATCGCTTTCAGCTATAAACGATGACAAATTTCTTTGTACTCGCACACTTTAGGCTTTGCTCAGTCAAATATACACATCTCTCACGCCCTTTTCGCGTTTTTCCATCTTCGGTTGTCAATTTTGCCATCGCGGGTTACAGTAACTCACACTAGGGAAGTACCGGTTCACGTTCATTCAATGTCCAATGTTGCTTTTTAAGAGCTAGTATAAACCAATTTAATTTCTTTGTATTCACTTCTTGGTTGTGAGGTAAAGGTTTCTAGACTTCGGTGAAATTCTGCGTAGTTCGTCCCGCCACTCAACACACGTAGTTTCCGTTGACTCCAAAATGGGTGGTGCTGGGATTAATTATATGTAGTTAGAAGTATGTGGTATTTTAAGACCGTGCTGCTACTGCGAACAGATTTTATCCTTTCACTGAGATATTAATGACAGGTATAATTAGTGCAGGTTATGTTGAATGGAAGGAAGAAAAATAAACGTACAAATAGACAACTAACGAAATTTAAGGTTGATATATGTATATATATATAAACATACATACATGGATATGGACATCAATAATAATAGTGCAAGGGAAGCAATAGTTGGAGTAATCAGGACAGCAGGACAAGAGAGGATGTGAATAAGTAAAACGATGAGTTTAGATGTCAACCCATAATTAATCCCTACACTACTCCTTATGGAGTCAACCAAAGCTACGACAGTCGAGTGGCCGGACGAGCTACGCAGAAGTTTACTGAAGATAAGGAACCTATACCTCACAATCAAGAGACGAGCACAAATCAAGTTGGTTTGTACTAGCTCGTAAAAACGATATTGGATATTGGATTAATAGTGCATAAGATTTTGAGAGGATACGCCATTTGGACTCAGCCTCTGTGTCGCTGCATGATTGTCCAACCTTCGCTTAAAGCTATTCACAGATGGTGCCGTAGCTATATCTGCCAGTAGGGAGTTCCATGGAAGGAAAAGTCACAGTGAAAAGAAATGGGGGCACACTTGATTCTCTGCCCTCTGGTGAGTTGTCCTTCGTGGATTCCCACGAGGAGGCCCATACGTACCTAATGGTCGAACACCTTTGTTCGGGTGATTCTGGGCATTCGTAATCCTGTGGGCAGTAACCGAGTCCCCCTAAGCCGACAGTAGCTAAGTATGAAGAGAGCTAATTTCTTTAGCTGTTCATCCTAAGGTTTGTTTCGGAGACCCATCACACTTTTGTCCCCTATCTTTGGACTCTTTCCAAAATATCCACGTCTCTTCTAAGCAGTTGCGGCGCAATCATATTGCGCACTTCAGGCCATGGTCTGACATATATTTTTACAACCTTAGAAAGAGCTCAGGAGTGAGTGCACCTAACTGCCTATGTATAAAGTGTATGACCGCATATGCCGTCGCTACATCCCCGCGTAATTTGTACATGTGTCCATTTTTCCCCTAAAACTACACCTAGTTCACGTTCTGACGTTGTGTAGGACAAGCTTTCGTTTCACTAGGTGTAACTTGCATTCTGCGGCCTACAGGTGCATAATTGCACTAATTTGTACTTTTCCAGGTTGAAAGTCATACCATTAGCCACCGCCCAGTCTTCCAGAGGCTTTAGGTCCACCTGCAGCCTATCTAAGTCTTCCGAGTACTTCGTCGCTCTTCAAATCTCTACGTCATCAACGCATGGGAGAGTCATGCAGCTCAGACTGCATGGCAAGCCATTGGCAAAAATTATAAATACCACTGGCCTTGGGTTAGAATCCTAAGATGCCTCTGGTGACGAGCTGTGCCAGGACGATCGGACTCAGTTGACCTTATTGCAGAATTTCGTTTCATTTAGGTTGTCCTGCAACTATGACACAAGCTGCCCACCAATACCTGCCTGACTTGTTTTGGATAGAAGTTCATGGTGAACTGTGTCAAATGCCTTCTCAGGATCTAGAATGATCACATGGACTGGAATATTCATATCTCATCATGACGTCCAATCGTTCAAAGCTGATAGTTGGTTTTGTTTCATGAGGCCTATTAGTCCCTTCGAGGTGCTCCCTAATGTGACCATCAGTTGTACTTTCCAGGACTTTTTATACCAGTGGTGGCAATTTGCTTGTCCCTACCATAGAAAGTCAGAGAAAGTAATGTCAATCTCTACTCCCTTGGCAGCTTTCCTGAATTCATCGAGTAATAATAATAATTTATATTTCGTATAAACGGGTATGTTTACAAGAAATGTATTCCATTTTTACGGGCACGATCAGTAACGTTGTAAATTATGATCCTGAAGTATCATAAATTATTACTTCTTCAAAGGTTTAAATTGCTCAATTATTATTGATATAAGTATATTTATATATAAGTATAAAACTTGGGCACTGTGGTAGAGTATAACTCCATAATGGTTAAGATTTTATTTTGATAAATCACACAGTGTTGTACAGTTATTTTAATTGATGACGTTTCGAGCACAAACAACTTGATATGATTATGAGCAATAGTTTGTGCTCAAAACGTCATCAGTTAATATGACTGTACGACACTGTGTGATTTATCAAAATAAAATCTTAACCATTATGGGGTTGTGCTCAATTATTTTACAAGCAATCAGAACAGGTTCTTATAAATGTTAAATTGTAAACCGTTTAATAAGGGCACCATCGAAGTTGAGTGACTACCCAAACTTCGTTCCGTTTCCTGCTGATCGTTATGGTCAACCAATGAACAGCGTATATCTAGGTGAGTGCTATGCCGCCACGTGATTGAACGCTATTTCAGGGAGGAGAGAAAATTCTGCGAAGCTTCAAAATGGTATAAAATGCGATTATGAATAATACATTATCAGAAGTATATTTATAAGATATATACAATGAGAAGAGGAAGCTATATAGTACTTGAAATGATAGTTTGAATTTGCAATGTTTAATGCTAACCATATTGGTCTTGGCATGGAAACTATCATGTTTCCGATGAAAATATAGCTTTGTTCAAACATTGGTGCTGTTGTGTTTTTAATCAAAGCAACCAGACTTAAAGCAAGCAACAAATATGAACAAAGAGCAAATTAAAAATTGCCTCATATATTGGAGTATTTTTATTTTTGATTATAGTTTGATTCCACACCATGTTTTGATACAAGTATGGAATTTCCAGCATGTGATGTCGACAGCCCAAATTTCGCAGGTCGACCATTGATATGCCAGGGGAACAGGTCGCATAAGGGCACAGGGAGAGCTTCGGCGCACTGTTTCCGAACAAATGGATATTATTTAACCGTAATTCATGTAATTTAAATATGTAACTTAAATAATACTTATCCGTGCCTATACAACTTTTGTGTCCTACATTTGTAGGAATAAATATGTACCTTATTATATTATCATTACTAACTATACTCACTAATGGTATGTGTAATTTATCGAATTGATGATGCCTGTAAACTGGCGTCCCTCATGTAAAAAAATTGAGAATATACTATTATTATTATTATCTGTAGATTCCCTAATAATATTGCCGTGTTTATTTGAAGCGTAGCCACTAGGTCTTCCTTCGGCGAAATAGTAGTGCTGCCATTTCGATCCCTACTGGTAGCAATCACTTTGCTGTTCACTGAACGTTTCAGCCATCTCCAGACTAGTGAGGTATTGACCGTTTGGAGCTACCAAGACGCACGCCTCCTGGCTGGCCGGTATTCTCTCTGACATGAACTGGTACTGGCCTCTGGGGTTCACTAGGAGTTCGCTTAGTATAAACTCCTGCCACTCCTGAGACTCACGTTTCACTGGTTCCTGAGTCCCATGTATGCAACGTGGTTAGTCCGACCCTTGGATATTCGCCACGTAGACCAAGCCTTCTGCTCTGCTTGCAGAATACGTCGCGTACTTCTCTTCAGCCATGAGGACCCTTTCTTCGGCTGTGTTGTGGCTAGAGGGACGGTAACTGAGATTGCTGTGTTAATAATCTCTTTAACACTTCCCAGCGTTCATCCACGGATATCTCGGACCATTCTATGGGCCATTCTGAGTCGAGAAAAATCCTTCGCATTCCAGCATAGTCAGCCCTGCTGTATTATGGACATGGCGGTGTAGTGTCCCACTGCAATCACTCACGGAGAACAAGCTCGAATCCCATAATTGCGTGGTAACTACTCTTTAGAGGGGTAGTGATCTAGACATTTTCGACAAGCAGCTGGTCACTAATTAGAATATTACTGAGTTTCGAAGACTTTCCACTAGAACTCCACCTAGAGTCATCTCCGACATTCTCAGTCAGTCCTGTATTTCCAACGACTTGCGGTAGGTTTCGACTGAGTTTTCCCTGAGCATACCCCGAGGTCAACGTCTGGGGTATTGAAATCTCCAGCTACAGCGATTTGTCACGACTCAACTCCCGTGCCCCTACGGTGACGCTGAGCAGTAGCTGGTTGTGTTCTACTCCACAGTGGGTGATCGGCAGACGACACGTGGTAAATACTTAGTACGGTCTAAGTTGAAATGAAACCATGTAGATTCTGGGTGTTGAGTAGGTGGTGGTGTCCGTTTCACGTACGAATTTGAGTTGCTTGCCAAGCTATACACCAAATTGTCCATTCCCTGGTATTCCTTTCTAGCCTGACCATAACCATATCACTTATACTGATTTCGTTGTCGGCAATAATGAGGGTTAGCCAGGTTTCAATCGGGATTATTATTTTGAGGTGTAGGTGTGACTGGAGGTATCTAAGTTTTCCCACTTTTCCTCTCAGCCCTCTCACATCGCTGTTCCGGCAGCAATAACGAGTCTCACCACCTCAGCGTATTATGGGTTAGTTAACCCCTACGTTAGCCGCTGGAAATGGATTTAGTATTAAAACCAGCTGGTCGATCCCGATGCAACAGGCCTGTTGTCGTTTTATTCCTTGGATTCGGCCGAAACACTAGAGTGACACCGGCTGTCATTCTTAGTGCCGCACCGCTGCAGTGTTTCTGAGGTATACGGACATAGTGTGACCTCATTTTGCCGCCCCTTATGGTTCGAGGCCTGCTTTCGCAGCATTGGATATGTCCTCCCATTTTACCCTTGGTCTCGTACCACCGTTGAAGTACTACAGCCAACTGTTCTTGGGAGCTGAACTGTACACTTAGTAGCCTTCGGGAGCTAATCAATGTGGGATGAGTCGGACGAGGTAGCCGGAAAATTGCAATCAAATATGACGGGTGACAGCCACCTCCACTGCTGCACGTCGTGCATGTATATTTCATAAGCAGTACCAGTTTTCAAATGCGGAACATGGTGCACGACCAC